AGGTCAAGAGTAAGGTATAGAAGTAGAGAAGCACATGCCTGTAATCCCAGCACTTGAGAAGCTCAGGCAGGAGAATTTCCTGCATTTGAGGCCATCCTAAGCTATACAGTGAGTTCAAAGCCAGCCTAAATTTAATAGTGAGAGTCTGTCTCAAAAAATAAAACAACAACAAAAGAGGTATGAACACCTATTCTTACCACTTTTATTCAATACTATACTTGAGGTACTAACAATATAATATAGGAAGAAAAAGTTATTAAACATGTCTAGACTAAAAAGGAAGAAGAAAAATCATCTATAGAGTCAATGACTGCATGATTAACTTTATAAAAATCTGGTAAGATTCTACAAAAACACTGTAGATAAGTTTAGCAAGGTTGGGGAGGATACAGGATAAATACACAATAGTCAATCACACCATGTAAGTGTATAAAAGCATATTTTAAGTTAAAGATATTTGAAAAAGACAACTAAAAAGGCAACTAAGAAGCCTATGAAAATGTAAATTAAAAACAAGCTAAAAATACAAAGCATTAATAGACACATTCATAATCATGAAATTGGTATATTTTAGTTATCTAGTTTAAAATGTTGTGCGGGTTCGCTTTGTTTTATCTTATAAAGTTATTATTGATAAAAATTCTAGTCCCCAATTACTTTACTTTGAGAGTAACAGCTTCTCAGTTAAGAAAAGTGTCTTTTCTACCAGAGCTATAACTGGTAGGAACTGGGGTTTTCAGATACTATTACACAAGACAGATTGACCTGTTTTTCATAGAAGTTTGGTTCCCCAGTAAGAGGACCCAAGAACACTTATAGTGTCAACTTCAATTAGACAATCTGGGACTAATGATTATGATGTGTAACGTAAACATGTAATATATTGGGAAGACCTGATATATTAAATTATTGTACTGTAAAACAAACTTTAATGTAAGATTTTATAGTGGTTCACACCTATAGTTCCTGCAACTCAGGAAGCTGATGCAGTACGACTGCTTGAGCCCAGGAGTGTGAGGCCAGTCTGGGCAGCAGAGAAAGAA